GGTCGTTCTCGACCTTCACAGAGTTCGTACCCGGCTTGTTATGCACATGATAATTACCAAAATACCCATCCCCCCAGTTATCAAAATACCCCCTCCTCCCAGTTATCAAAATACTCCCTCCTCCCAGTTATCAAATTACTCCCTCCTCCCAGTTATCAAAATACTCCCCCTCATATCTACCAAACACCCCCTCCAGTTTACCAAACTTCATCTCATTACTACCGAAACCGCTCCCAAATGTGCCAACGTTCAGACAAATTATCAAACGCCTCCTCAAATGTACCAAACCCCAGCTCCACTTTACCAAAATACCCCCTCGAACTACCAAGCTCCCACAGCCAAATTACCAAACCAACTCATATCCAAGATATCAAGCCCCCGTCCAAATACTCCAAATTATCGTCAAATGCCTCCTCCTCAACAAGACAGTTACGATCCCTCATGTCCTAGATTTGAGAAGAAGCCCGCTAGAATTTTCACTCTGCTCATTGAAAGTTGAACAAAGTTGTTCGAGCGATTAACTGCGGTAAGATATATTCATCCAGTGGGGCCCAAGCCGATTAACACTACCTCAAAGTTTTACAGACCTGATCAGAGGTGCGCATATCACTCCAACGGTGTTGGGTATGATATTGAGGACTGTATCAACCTAAAGCACAAGATCCAAGACATTCTTGACCAGTAAGTGGTCACTCTCCAGACAGCCGCGCCCAATGTCAATAGTAATCCTTTGCCAAATCATGGAGGAGTCACTATCAATATAATAGAGACGGATGAGGATTGGAGCGTGACAAAGGCAATAGTTTCGATCGCTCCTGATGAACTGGAAAGGGCTGTAGCTTCGTTGAGCATTAGAGAGAAGAAAGAGTTTGTGATTCTGACACCCGAGAAGGTTGTTGCCTTGGTGCCATGAGAAACTCTTTCCCGACCAAAGTTTGTTATTGAAATGGCTATTACCCAGGGTATGACCAGATCCGACAGGTGCTACACACCAGAAGAGTTAGCCCAGGGAGTGCAGAAAAAGGATCAGCCTAAAAGGCCAATTAGTGAAGCTGAAGCAAAAGAATTTTGGAGAAAGATGCAACTAAAAGATTACTCGATCGTGAAACATCTGGAGAAAACACCCGCTCAAATTTCTGTATGGGCTTTGTTGATGAATTCACAACTGCATATGCAAGCATTGATAAAGGCTTTGGATGACATTTATGTGCCCGTGGGTACTAACAGCGATAATCTGGCAGCTATGATAAACCAAGTTGTACGAGGACACCGCATCAGTTTCTATGACGAAGAGCTGCCCTTTGAAGCAAGATGCACAACAAAGCTCTACACGTCACCATTACGTGCCGAGACTAGGTCATAAATTGCGTCTTGGTCGATGACCGATCTTGTCTCAATAATTGCCCACTTTTGACTCTGAAGCAGCTAAACTTCGACTTGGGAAAGGTTCACCAGAACCAAGTCAATGTGAGGGATTTCAATGGAGTGCAAAGAGACATGTTGGGTGCAGTAAAATTGGATATTTAGATGGGTCCTGTGGAATTCAATGTGGAGTTTCAGGTGTTAGACATCAATACCAATTACAATTTGCTTCTGGGAAGACCGTTTGTCCACATGGTCGGGGTTGTGGCTTCTACCCTTCACCAACTAATGAAATTTGTTTGGAAGGACTAGGAATTGGTCATTCATGGTGAAGGGAGCCATTCCAATGGGTATGCACCGATCGTTGATGAGGTCTCCCGAGGTTGCGATTTCTACACGGTGGAGTTGGTAAATGCCACTAGTGATGATTTTGGCTCCACAGCCCTCTATGCTTTCTGTGTACAAGATGATTGCTACTATTATGCTCCGAATTGGTTTCGAACCAGGTTTCAGATTGGGAAAGCATTTTTAAGGAATTGTCGAGCCTATCCAAATTCCCGCCAAAGGAGCAAAATTTGGTTTGGGGTATGTCCCCATATATGATGAAGCAGAGATGAAGAACAAGAGGGTTGATCAAGCATTGGCCAGGCCAATTCCTCATGTATACCAATCATTTCCAGTACGAGAGTATGTCAACGATGGTGGTCTCGAGGAAGGAATCTGGGCCTTTTTTAGGAGATTGATGCGGTCATCGAGGAAGAGGCTTGGACATCGGGCATCCGTGATACAGAATTTGAGGAGCAATTGCAAAATTGGACCTCCACACTGCTCCTGGTTCCCCGTGCAGCTTGGTAGAAAAGACATGTGTTTATGTTTGTTTTTAAAATCGATGGTAGTCCGAAAGAGGCCCGAGACCCACCGTTTATGGAGTTTTTATTTGTTTGAGTTATTTTTAATTCCCCCGTGATGTTTAAAAAGGCGAAACGAACCTTAGCCATGGCCAAATTTTGTGCTTGTTTTTCAATTTAAATGAAAGCCTCTTTTATCAAAAATTTGTTTGCTTATCTGTTTATATTTTACCTTTCTAACTTTGTTTGTTTATGATTTCAGTAATTTCAGTAAACCTGCCAATGTCATGTCATGTCATGATATGAGTAAACGAAATGAGGCAGGTGATGACGAATGCGAGGAACGCGAAGAAGAAAATGAGGCACCTGAACATGTTGCTGAAAAGTTTCGACAATTCGAGAATCAACACAAGCCGAATTTAGAAGAAACTGAAACTATGAATCTCGAAGATGAGGAATGTGTTAAAGAAGTAAGAATCAGCGTCCATCTGATTAAAGCTCAAAGAAGGGATCTGGTTCGTTTGCTTAGAGAATACATTGATGTACTTGTCTGGTCTTACAAAGATACACCAGGGCTAAGTACGAATATGGTGTCCCACAAGTTGCCGATTAATCCAGAATTCAGTCCAATAAAATAAAAGACTCGAAAGTTCAAGCCTGAGTTGAGTTTAAAGATCAAAGAGTAGATTACCAAACAGATCGAGTCTCAAGTAGTGGAAGTGACGCAGTATCCGACTTGGTTAGCTTCCGGTTGCCAAGAAAGATGGGAAGATCAGAATGTGTGTCGATTACAGAGATCTCAACAAAGCTAGCGCGAAAGACAACTTTCCATTGCCAAACATTCACATTCTCATTGATACTTGTGCCAAGCATGAGATGCAGTCGTTTGTGGATTGTTATGCAGGCTATCACCAGATCCTGATGGATAAAGAAGATGCAGAAAAGACATCATTCATTATGCCTTGGGGTGTATATCATTATCGGGTGATGCCTTTTGGTCTCAAGAATGTCGGTGCTACTTATATGAGGGATATGACAACCATTTTTCTATGATATGATTCATAAGGAGATTGAGGTGTATGTAGATGATGTCATAATCAAATTCCGCGAGAGTTCGGATCACTTGACTCACTTAAGGAAATTCTTTGATCGCATGCGTCGATACAATTTGAAGTTAAATCCCGCCAAATGTGCTTTTGGTGTGCTAGCTGGCAAGCTGTTGGGACTTATAGTCAGCAGGAGGGGCATTGAGCTTGACCCTTCCAAGATCAAAGCGATTCAAGAGTTGCCTCATCCGAAGACCAAGAAGGAGGTGATGAGTTTTCTAGGAAAGTTGAACTACATCAGTCGGTTCATAGCTCAGTCCACTGTGGTGTGTGAGCCCATCTTCAAGTTGTTGAAAAAAGATGCCCTGACCAAGTGGATCGGAGAATGTCAAACTGCTTTTGATGCCATCAAGAATTATTTGTTCAATCCGCCGGTGTTGGTTCCTCCGCGAGAAGGAAGCCCGTTGTTGCTATATTTGTCGGTCTCGAATAAGGCATTTGGATGCGTGCTTGGTCAACATGACAAAACTGGGAAGAATGAGCGAGCTATTTATTACTTGAGCAATAAATTCACTCAATATGAAGCCCGTTACACTTTTTTGGAGAGAACCTGTTCTGCTTTGACTTGGATTGCTCAGAAGTTGAGACATTATTTGTCTTTTTATACCACATACCTTATTTCCAGGATGGACCCATTGAAGTATATTTTCCAGAAGGCAATGCCGACCGGGAAGTTGGCTAAATGGTAAATGCTCTTGAGTGAGTTTGACATTGTGTATGTGACCCAGAAGGTGATAAAAGCACAAGCATTGGCTGATCATCTTGCGGAGAATCCAGTTGATGAAGAGTATGAACCGCTCAAGACTTATTATCCCGATGAAGAAGTTACATTTGTGGGTGAAGATATTTCTGAAGCATACCCTGGTTGGAGAGTATTCTGATCGAAGCGGTCTTAGTATCGGAATCCGGTCAGCACTATCCTATGGCGGCTAAACTCCGATTTGATTGCACAAATAGCATGGCTGAGTATGAAGCTTGCATCCTAGGTCTGAAGATGGCAATTGATATGAACGTTCACGAGCTGTTGGTTATCGGAGATTCATATTTGCTAATTCACCAGGTTTAAGGAGAATGGGCCGTGAAGAACCTAAAGATCACGCCCTATGTGCGGTATATACAAAAATTGTGCAAGAGATTTCGCAATACTGAATTCAGGAACACTCCCAGGACACAGAATGAGTTGGACGATGCTTTTGCCACCATCGCATCAATGATTAAACATACAGATACAAGTTATATTGATCATTTCGATATAGAGGTAAAAGAGCAGCCTGTTCATTGTTCACATGTTGAAGCGGAACCAGATAATTTGCCTTGGTATTTTGATATAAAGAGGTATTTGGAGACCGGGACTTATCCTGAGAATGCAACGTTCAACCAGAAGAAATCAATTCACCATATGGCTAACAATTTCTTTCCAAGTGGGGAAATCCTTTATAGGAGGACTCCAGATTTAGGTCTTCTCAGATGTGTCGATGCTAGTGAAGCTGCGAAGCTTTTGGAACAGATACATGCTAGAGTTTGTGGTACTCACATGAATGGACTCACTTTGGCGAGGAAGATCCTTCGAGCCGGTTATTTTTGGATGACTATGGAGCATGATTGTTGGAAGTTTGTGTAGAAATGTCATAAATGTCAAGTGCATGGCGATTTGATTCGAGTCCCGCCTCACGAACTCAATGCTATGAGTTCACATTGGCCGTTTGTAGCTTGGGGCATGGATGTCATTGGTCCAATAGAGTCAGCCGCCTCTAACGGACACAGATTCATTTTGGTTGCCATTGATTACTCCACCAAGTGGGTGGAAGCAGCTTTGTATAAGTCGGTGACCAAAAAGGTTGTAGCTAATTTTGTTCGCAACAATTTGATATGTAGGTTTGGAGTACCAGAATCTATCATTACTGATAATGGAGCGAATCTTAACAGTCACTTGATGAGAGAGATATGTGAACAATTCAAGATTACCCACCGAAACTCGACCACTTATCGTCCCCAAATGAATGGAGCTGTAGAAGCCGCCAACAAGAACATCAAGAAGATTTTGAGGAAAATGATTGACAATTATCAAGGTTGGCATGAGATGTTGCCTTATGCTTTGTTAGGATACAGAGCGACTGTTAGGACGTCAATCGGAGCAACTCCATACTTGTTAGTATATGGAACAGAAGCAGTTATACCTGCTGAAGTTGAGATACCTTCATTGAGAATCATCCAAGAAGCTGAATTGAGTGATGCTGAATGGGTTCGCAAGTGGATTGACCAGTTAACATTGATTGATGAAAAGAGAATGGTTGCGTTTTTTCATGGTCAATTGTATCGACAGAGAATTATTCGTGCTTTCCACAAGAAAGTAAGAGCCAGGATATTTGAAATCGGCCAGTTGGTCCTTAAGCGCATTTTCCCTCATCAGGATAAGTACAAAGGGAAATTTGTACCAAATTGGCAAGGACCCTATATGGTTCGCAAAGTGTTATCTGGAGGTGCCTTGGGCCTGTCGAAGATGGATGGCACCGAATGACCGAAACCGATCAACTCAAATGTTGTCAAGAGGTACTATGTGTGAAGTTTCGGTTCGTATTTTCGTGTCATTTCCTTGTAATCGTTCTATTTGCTTGTAATTGCTTCGTTTAAAATTTTATCCCTTTTGTAAATGAACTACGTCTGACCTGAATTCTCAAAAATGAGATACGTAGGCATCATATGTTGGATTCGGTCGGTTTCTTTGTAAATTTCTTATTTTCCTTAATCCTCGAGAGGGGGAACTACGTTTGACCTAATTCCTGCCTCAACGGGATACATAGGCGCCACAACGGTTCGGTCATATCTCCCGTAAGATTTCTATTTCTCTTTACAATAGAAACTGGGACAGAATTTTTGAGAGGGCCTAAAAAATTCTCGAGAAGAAGATTTTCTACAACAAGTCAAGACTGAAGTTACTTTGAGATTTGCAATTGGACGGAATTTTTGAGATCTGTCAAAAATTCTGTGATTTACTCACCAACAGTTCGAGATAAGCCAAGACAGTTAACTGGGACAGAATTTTTTGAGGATGACCTCAAAATATTCAATAAGGTGATCGGGAGTTTGGAACAACTTTGAATACTTCCCCAGCAAGTAATCTGATATATCTCGAGGCATCAACCCCAAAGGCGTTCGTTAAGCGTGACGTGACATGACACTTTACAGTGACCTTTTTTAAATTTTACTTTTGGAAAATCTATTTTCCTTAAAGCCTCTCTTTCGTGTTTCAAATATTTTGCGTAAAAATGTTTTGTCCTATCTATCAAGACGCGGGAGATCGGAGAAATCAACCGAAGAAAATAAAATAAGGAGCAGACAATCGAAGAGATCGACATAGATCAGTTCATTTTTAAACTAACATTTTTTCTGTGGATGCAGGTCTATAAGCTTGCCTCAAGATCAACGTATTCCTCCATTCAATGAATGCGGAGAAGTCAAAGGGTAAAGAGCTCCCCAAAATTGACAATTTTTATGTGGATGCAGGAAATATTTTATGTTTCTTATGACAAAGAATTGAGAATATAAGTAGCATTATTTCATTCAATTCCCAACAAGGTGAAGTCCATAATGAACGTGCAACTATGTTCAGAGATGGAACAAATGAAAACCCCGAGGAAAGACAACTTACTGTTCTCCATCAACTAAAGATACTTGGAGGATATTATCTGCATCATATTATCGGACATGATAATAGTACTACCCGGAGAGTCATTTATATCGTATTGTTGAATAAGATGATACCATTACTCTTAGAGTCATTTTTATTTGTATTGTCGATTGAGACGATATCGCCACCCAAAAGATACCCAGAAGATCACCTATGTTGCTCAGTGAAGCATTATCTTCGTTCGGTACCAGGGAGGCATCAAGAGAAAGGAGTCATGCATTACAAGAGAAAAGAGTCATGCATCGCAAGAGAAAGGAAATCATGCATAGCAAGAGAAATAAGTCATGCATAACAAGAGAAAGAAGTCATGCATAGCAAGAGAAAGGAAATCATGCATAGCAAGAAGTCATGCATAGCAAGAGAAAAGGAGCCATGCATCACGGGAAAGAGATTCATGCATAGCAAGAGAAAAGCCATGCATAGCAAGAGAAAGGAATCATGCATAGCAAGAGAAATGAGTCATGCATAACAAGATAAATAAGTCATGCATAGTAAGAGAAAGGAGTCATGCATAGCAAGATAAATGAGTCATGCATAGCAAGAGAAAAGAGTCATTCACCAAGAGAAAAGAGTCGTGCATCGCAAGAGAAAGGAGTCATTCACCAAGAGAAAAGAGTCGTGCATGCATAGCAAGAGAAATGAGTCATGCATAGCAAGATAAATAAGTCATGCATAGTAAGAGAAAGGAGTCATGCATAGCAAGATAAATGAGTCATGCATAGCAAGAGAAAAGAGTCATTCACCAAGAGAAAAGAGTCGTGCATCGCAAGAGTCATGCATCAAGAGAAAGAAGTCATGCATAACAAGATAAAGAAGTCATGCATAGTAAGAGAAAGGAGTCATGCATAGCAAGATAAAGGAGTCATGCATAGCAAGAGAAAGGAGTCATTCACCAAGAGAAAAGAGTCGTGCATCGCAAGAGAAAGATTAATCCATCACAAGAAAATCAACATCAGCTGCATCATTTTCTCTGCAAAAACGACATCAAGAGAACCACCAATTACGGCATCAAGAGAACTATCAACATATTACATCAGCCTATTTTATTATTTTGACATCAAAAGAGGAGTACATTTAAGATGATATTGCTAATATGAGACACAAGCTTTATTTGCTTTACGTCAAACCCGATGGAGTTGACGTCAAATGATCAAGGAGAGCAATTAAGTGTTAACACGGTAAAAGACATTGTCTCCCATTCGAATTGTATTTTTATGCTAATGAGTTTTATCTCAGTCTTTATCGAGAGCATCCGAAAGGATGAATTCTCCAAAACAAACCACAGATGTGGACAACATCAAAAAGAATGCAGCATAACGTGGAACTTTTTCTTAGCAGCAAACTGGGACATAGTCCAAAGAGGAGTGCCAAACTCTTAGGACGCGAGCAGAGGAGCGACTTCCACCACAATCCAACCACACCCCTATCAGAAGGGATGTGGGTTTTTCTTTAGGTTTCCTGGTTTCAGTTTCGCATCCAAAAAAATTGGGTTCGCCGAAAACAACCTTCCAATCGGAGTGACAATGCTCTAAGAGTGTTGGGAATTATGTCTGTGTAAGTTCTTAATTATGGGTGTGAAGCGCGCCGCATTCATGACTAAGAGGTTGCAAGCCTCTTTTTCATACTCGACTTACTTTGTCACTCCTCCGAAACCGAAGGATATCTTAGCATAAGAGATTTCCTTTTCAACCGATTGAGTCGAACTACAAGCAGCCTGATTCCCTGGGTTGAAGGATATGTAGGCGGAATCAATGTTCAAAACTCGGCTATATTCCAACATTCACTCTTAAATCTTATTCTCGAACATTTCGGTCCTCACATAATACGGTATCGGGATGGCTTTTGAGTTCTTTCAAAATTCTGCGTCAAATCAAGTGTATCGAACTACAAGTGGCCTGAATTCTCATATAGCCTGAGATATGTAGGAAACCCACTTTCGGGGTTCGGCCATAATTCCTAAAGTCCTTACCAAATCCCTTTTCCAAAAGATGAAGATGTGGTCGGTCAAAATTGGATTAGTCAATTACATTTTCCTCGAATTTCTTGCATCAATTCAAGCAAAATGAGGGACAGTTGTTGACACCCAATTTTGACCCTCCCCGATAGGAATTAATTCACGAGCTTCTTAATTCCCAAACGATTTAGAATAATTAGTTTTATAAAATTCAAATGCTTTTCAAAGTCATTTTAAGTGATGTTAGTCAATTTTTCCTAATTTATAAATAGTAAATATATTTCATATAGTTTTATAGATATAATCGGTATGTTTCATAAATATTTGAAAATCATCTCAAAAAGATTTTATTTTAAATATTCTATTAAAATTAGTTTAGTTTAAATTATGGTTAATTTTAAAAATCAATTGGTTTATAGTTGAATTAATTATTTTATTTTGTTAAGATGAGAAGCTCCTAAATTAACTATATTAATTCATCCTATGTAAATTCTAGCCGAATTTTCTAGAAATTAATTCTTTGATTACATATTAAATCTGTTTGGCTAAATTACTGATTAATCTATTTAAGATTTTAGCCAAATCCTCCAATATCTTCAATTCCTCTCAAACAAATTTTGGGCCAAAAATCAATTCCCAACCGACCATGCCTTGATTTCTAACCCAGCCCACTCTTTTACTCTAGACCCAACCCATTCTAATTTGTTCTTTCCAATTCAGCTTCTCCAGTCAGCCCACCTTTTAAACCCGACCTGACCCTTTTCTAATTCACGAAAGAGAATCATAAGAGATTCCCAGAGCGTTCATGTGAACGACGACATCAACGAAATATGTTGTCTCAACGTTCACTAAGAAAATCACGCTGAAATTTAATCCCAATCGATTCCAATACACGACGCTTACACGGAGATAGATGGAAAATCATCAGTACGCAGAACAGTACACTGCAATTTTTGTTTCTTCTCCAACGTCTCTATCAACCAGTACTATCGTAGCAGCAATGAAGGCATGCGGAATCGTCCTCCTAGCGTGAGATCGCTCCACGTTGCTCGTCCAGGACAATGGAATCGATCCGGAGCATCCATCTTCCCTTTCCTCTTTCATAATGGGGAGAAAATTTCAGAAAAGGGTGTCTTCCCTAAAATGGTGAAAGAGTTTTTGGCGTTTGAATTTTGAATGGACCCTATTCCTATCCATTTTTTCATCCGTTTCCCCCCAATTCCGAACCCTAGATTTCGCATATAAATACCCCCTCTTCTTTATTTGTTGGGGGTTGGAAAAACGTTGGGAAAAATTAGGAAAACAAGCGATAATTTACAGCAATAGTCTTACTGAAATATACCTAGAATATACATTCATATTTTTTCTTGATTCGGGGGGTTGCTAAGGATTCATAAGAGTTTCCTGAAGTTTAAAGTTAGTGTTGAGTCTGCTCCAAGCTCGTAGCCGTCCAAGCTCGCTGCCTAAAAGATGGTAAAAACCTCTCATTTTAGCCTTGTTCGTTTAACATTTACGTTGTTATGTATTCCTTTTGTTTATGCGTTTAACGGAGACTTCTCAATCTGAATCGAAATTATCTTCTTGTTGGGCTCGCTAAAGTGTGGATAGGCATATTTGATGTTTCTTTCCTTTCATTTGGACTGTTGTTAGTTTCTTTTGTTTTGGTTAGGACTCTTTAAATGTGGGGAGCTTTTGATTTCTATTTCGTTTTCTTAAGTTTATCTTCTTGTGCTTACGAAGATCGGCTAGTTTGTTTTGATGCGTCACAGTTCGATCTTATTATGATCCAGCGTATTCTTTCGTTCATAGTTTTGTTAGCTTCCCCTCCCCCTTTGGTTTGAGTTTTAACTGTTTTTCAGCATAATTGGTTTGGATT